TTGTTGACCTCAGTGTCTGTGCTGCTTGGTGTTATGTTCAGGAAGCTGTCTCCTGTACCAATTCATTCAAGGGTACCTCCCAATTTCTCTTCTAAGAGGTTCAGTGTGGCTGGATTTATGTTGAGTTGTTTGTTCCATTTGGACTAAAATTTTGTGCATGGCAATAGACATGGATTGATCTGCAGTCTTCTACATGCCAGCCTCCAGTTCTGCCAGCACCATTTGTTGAAGATGCTTTCTTTTTTTAATTGTATCATTTTAGCTTCTTTGTCAAAAATCAGTTGTTTGGTACATGTGTGGTTTAATATCAGGGTGTTCAATTCGTTTCTAATTTAAATAAAAAATAAATGGTGGCATTGCAGACATGCCCACGGAAAAGATCACAACGGAAGCAATGGAAAGGAGAGCGCGGGGCGGGGCGGGGGGAGCCCAGATGGTGAAGTTTCCTGTTAGACAGCAGTGTCTCTCACAGCAGCACTGCAGCATGCAACCGCAGCTCTGTTTGTATTGTGGCATCCCATTAATATCGAGGACCACTGTTCTAATGAGTGTCTTCACAAAGCAAGCAGGAGGAGGCTTACCGCCACGCCTCTCATGTATAACCTGTCTGTCTATTGAGCGGCTATTAGTGAGGAAAATTAATTGTTTTCCTGTGGGTACTGCCGAGTGTGAGCACACTCAGTTCTTAGGGACATGATTACTCTAAGCAGTTCTTAGAGACATGATTACTCTAAGCGGCCGATCATTTCAACTGACAACTGAGAGCAGACATCAGCTTTAGAGATGATGGTGATGGTGATGGTGTGTGTGTGTGTGTGTGTCTGTCTGTCTGTCCCAGAAAAGGGAGATGTGTTTTATATTTGCAAAGCTCTGGCTAGATAGGACAGTGTCCCCAGCCTCTGTCTGCCACTGGTTAAACCAGGTGACTCCTTAAATTAGGACATAAAACAGTAGACATAATCACTTCATAGCAGGGTACCACCCAAGAACCTAAGTTTTTCACACTCACGATCACACTGGAAACTGACAATAGCCTTCTGGGATAGCTTAGCACTTGCACGTGAAAATGTAGGAGGATACTGGCTTGCCTCTGGGACCACACCCTTCATCAAATGTTGTGTAGTTCTAGGGTTACACTCAACCTAGAACAGAGCCCAGCCATCCTACCAGCCTGGGCACGTTGGTTAGTTTTTGTCAGACTGACCAAGTAAAGACACCCAAGAAGAGGGAACCTCAAACTGAGGACGTGCGTCCATTGACCTGCCATGAATGTGGGGCATTTTCCTCGTTAATTTATGGAGGATGGCCCGGCCCACTGGGGACGCCGCCACCCTGGGGCAGGAGGTTCTGGGCTGTCTAAAAAAGGTATCTGAGTGAGCCAGGGAAAGCAAGTCAGTAAACGACTCCCCTTCCCCGGCCCCTGCCTCAGTTCCAGCCTGTTGGAGGCCAAATAAACCCTTTGCTGCCCCACGCCGGTTTGTATGCACTCTATCACAGCAACAGGAAGTAAACTGGAACCCTGAGTATACTCAAGGTACCACGATGAAGGTGCCCATTGGGAAGAGTGAGGCCAAGACCACCTCTGGGATTCTTCTATTTAATGTGGAGACTTGCACGCTGTGGGAAATAGTGTTGGTTTGCTTGTTTGTCAGGCAAATCGCGGCCTTATCTTTACTTTTGTTTTTGTAGCAGTAATTAGTAAATAGCCACTGAGCCATGTTTGATTTTTTTAATTTTCCTGAGTTTCCGCTATGATAAAAGGCATGGCTAGTGCCCCTACCCTTTGTCAGAACACCCGAGACGCAACAGGGCACTGTGTCCTGAAATGTGTCACCTCTTTGACACAGAAATACTGCTGCTTCCCACGCTACATGACAATAGAGATGACCCCAGAGGTGGGTGACCCGGTAATTAATCTAGCCGTGTGATTGTCATGCAATGAATGTGGGTCACTTTTTGGAAGAGTGAGGAGTTGCCCGTGGCTAGGGCTGCAGGGATCTATTTATGGAGCTGGGGAAGACGGGTTGAGTAGAGGAGTGTGGTATGGCGATGGGGGAATGTCCTTCTACAGACGTCCCCCCTATTCAATGGACACACTTCCTCAGTTTGAGGTTTCCTCTTCTTGGGTATCTTTACTTTGTCAGTCTGACAAAAACTAACCAACGTACCCAGGCTGGTAGGATGGCTGGGTTCTGTTCTAGGTTGAGTGTAACCCCAGAACTATACATGCTTCTCTTATTGGCTGATGAATAAAACACTGACTGGCCAGTCGCCAGGCAGAACGTATAGGCGGGGCTACCAGACTAGGAGAATTTTGGGGAGAGGATCCAGAGAGAGGTTGCCAGAGAGACGCCACGTAGCCGCTGAAGGAATAACATGCTGGAGCCTTCTCCGTAAGATAAGGCCATGTAAAAATACATAGATTAATAATTATGAGTTAATAATTGAGAGAGAGCTAGCCAGTAAGAACCCTAAGCCATCAGCCAAACAGTTTATAAGTAATGTAAGTCTCTGTGTGTTTGTTTGGGGTAAAGCGGCTATGGGACCAGGCAGGACAGAAACTCTGTCTACAGTGCGGTAAGGCCAAGGTTCTGAAAGCCGGTCACAGTGGAAAGGGCACGCCCCCCTGACAAAGGCTGACCCATCAGTTAGACAACAGACACTCAGATTCTAACCTGAAATAACTTAAAGTGAGCACAGATGAAGACAGCTGACAGGAGCTTTAAGGCGAAGGCTGTTGGCAGCTGGTCCAGCGATTCCAGAGCACAGCTTTGGCATGCAGGTGGAGAAGGGACCCGAAACTTGGGTGTGGCTGTGAGAACCAATGTGGCCATGGCGTGGGGAGGAGTGAAGGGGAAATCCACGCTGGTGGCTGCTGAGAGGAACCCAGGAGGGGAGGGAGAGCTGCTTCTCCCAGAAGCCACCTGTCTACTCTGGCAGCCAGTGTTGGGAGAATGAGTCAACCCTTCTTGTCACCCTCTCAGCCCGACAGGTGTAGGAATTGAGTCCTTCTTGCTTAAGGCCACCCTTTCTTCTGGACCCCATCCTCTGCCCCTCCCGTCCCCCCTGGGAGCACGCTGCATGATTTTCCCCTCTTTCACTATGCATTTGTGTATTGACCTATTAGTGGCTCCTTCCTGCCAGCCTCCAGCCTTTCTTAAGCTTCTCTGCCCTTCAAATCGTCCATTCTAGACTCTGAACTTCCTTACTCCACTATCCTAGCTCGGGGGCTCCCTTCCCAGCTGGAGTTCTCCACAGGGAGGGACTCCATTCTCGTGCTCCGCTGTTGCTTCTTTATTTTATTTTATTTTATTTTATTTTCCAGTTTAAATTTAGATAAGAAACAAGGTTGCTTCACAAGTCAGTTCCAGGTCCCTCTCTCTTTCACTCCCCTCCTCCCGTGCCCCCCCATTATCCCCTCATTCCCCCAGGGAGGGTGAGGCCCTCCGTGGGGGTGTCCATAGTCTGTCATTTCATATAGGGCAGGGCCTAGACCCTTCCCCAAGAGGTCAGGGTGAGAGTGCACCTCACATTGTTCTATGGGAGTCCAAAGTCCCTGTGTATACTTGGGATGGGTACTGATCTGCTGCCCAAGGCTCAATAGATTCCCTAGGCCTCCTCACTGACACCCAGATTCAGGGGGTCTTGATCAGTCCCATGCTGGATTCCCAGGCTGATGCCTGGGATTCAAGAGTTAACCTTTGTCTGGTCAGCTGTTTCTGGGGGTTAAACCAGCCCAGTCTTAATCCCTTTGATCATCAGTCCTCCCTCTCTGTTACTGGCTTTCTTGAGTTCAGCTCAGTACTTAACCAAGGGAGTCTGCCTCTTCTTCGATCAGCCACTAAATGAAGTTTCTGTTTCCCAGACTCTCTGGCCATAGGATTGTAGGCTGGCACTCCCCAGATCTATGTCTAAAATCCATATATGAGAGAGTACATGCCATGTTTCTCTTTTTGTGACTGGGTTACCTCACTCAGGATGGTTTCTTCTAGTGTCATCCATTTGCCTGTGAATCTCATGATTCCATTGTTTTTTTCTGCTGAATAGTACTCCATTGTGTAAATGTACCACATTTTCTCTATCCACTCTTCGGTTGAGGGACATCTAGGTTGCTTCCAAGTTTTGGCTATTACAAATAAAGCTGCTATGAACATAGTGGAACAGACATCTTTGTTGTATGAATGGGCATCTTTTGGATAAGTCTCCAAAACATCAAAGGACCCAATTAAAAAGTGGGCTGCAGAACTAAATAGAGAGTTTTCAATAGAGGAGTCTAAAATGGCTGAGAGGCACTTGAGAAAGTGCTCAACATCCTTAGCCATCCGGGAAATGCAAATCAAAACAACTCTGAGATACCATCTCACTCCTGTCAGAATGGCTAAAATCAAAAACACCAATGACAATTTATGCTGGAGAGGATGTGGTGAAAGGGGGACACTCCTCCATTGCTGGTGGGAGTGCCAACTGGTTCAGCCACTTTGGAAATCAGTATGGAGATTCCTCAGAAAAATGGGAATAAACCTACCACAAGACCCAGCAACTCCACTCTGCTGTTGCTTCTTGACTGACTACAGCCCACCGCTGCAGAGGCAGCTCTGAGGAAAATGGGGAGTTGTGGATTTTTAACCGTAAGGAGCCTCTTTAGGTCCTTGTCCTGGACGCCACCGCTTCCATTTCATTCTAGATCATGCCGACTTGGTGGGTTTTTGCCACTCTGGTCTCTGCGACTGGCAGGATGCTGTCTCTGGTCACTTCTTCCCAGGATGCAGCTGGGGCTCGACTTTGGTGTCCTCTCCAGAGCTGGGTCCCTGCGCCCACTCCTGCCTCCCCTCTTAGGGCTTAACTGTCACTTTCTCGTCTCTGCGCTACAGGTCGGAATTTCCTGCTCAGACCGGCTGCTTGCAGCTCACAGTGTTTATTACGTCTAGCGACTGGTGGGCACTTTTGCTCAGGTGTCACACAGAAACTTTAAGATAAACACAATGAAGACAAACGCGCCCTTTGTCCGCATGCCCGATTCTTCTTTAGTATCCCATGTGTGTTTTACAATACAATATTAATTAATCAGTCAACTGTAAACTTGGGGGAGATCCCCACTTTACCATCATTCACCACTTTGGCCCTTCTTAGGTACTTTCCAAGTCATTCATCTCTACTCCACTCAACTATTCCTGCCTACGTTGAGGTTCTTTGACTGGACAACAGAAATACCCGACTGCTTCACCCACCACCTAAATCCCTGCTTCAGAGAATTCAGCCACCTTCATCGCTCCGCCCCTGCCCCCAGTCAGACCTCTCAGCCCCCTCTGCTTGGTGTTTTAAGCCCTAGCAACACTCACCTGCTGACTCAGAATACACCACAGCATTTCCTGTCTTAAAGCGACATCCACGCCAACCCCCGCCCCTGACACCCTTCTCTCCCCCGCAACTTCTTCTTGCCTCTAGAACCTTAGCCAGGCACCCAGGCCCACGCTTCCAGGGACTCCAGCATGCTGTCCCCTACCTTCCTATGTCACACGGAAGTCCCCTCTTTATGTGTCTGTCTCCCCAGCAAGAGTATGGAACCCTTGGGGGCAAACTAACATCCTTCTTGCTGTTTCTTTGAAAATCTCTGAGGGTATTGAAATCTTTGAAGTTTTATTTAGTGAAATAAAAGCATGTAGTTCTCCAGCTGTTTTTTAAATGTATCATCTCCCGTGCCACATATTTGTAGCCAGTTCATGGTTTGTATTTTTATATGACTCTTAAAAAACCTTAAGCTGAACTAAAGCTCAGCGAAGACTTCTTTTGCCCGGCAGAACAATGGTTATCAAATGCTACTTTTGTCCACAAAGCAAACAAAGTTGTTATAACATCCGCAGCCTTAATACCACTTAATATCCCTCTTTCCCCCTTTAACAGGGCTACCTCTGACCTAGAGAAAAAAGGAGCCATCTAGCAACAAGAAAGTCCATGCTTTAAATGCTGCTCGGGATTTTAGTTACGACTTTTCCTGTATGTGGACTTCCTCCCCATAGGATCAGACAAACCAAATTAGCTTACTTAGTTCTTCCTTTCCGAAGACAGACTAGTATCTGCATATGATATCCACAAAGTCACAGTTCTGTCTCCATGTCTATGCGGCTGCTCTGCAGAGAACCAGCCATGTTTTGGTAGATTGAAAACTTGGGATTCTGGACCCAGCATCTTTCCTGGCAGCTACACGATCTTGAAGCACAATATTGATTGTTCCTTTGCCTCACCTTGCAAAAGCAGTAAAAATTAGTCCTTGTCAATTTCCAGAAAGAAAACAGTCTGGCCCTAAAAGAAATCACAGAGTGGCCTGTACATTATTGCCTGTAAAAGACACCTCGATTTTAGCAGCGAGGCTGGGACTCCTGGAACCCTGGCTTCCACACAGCCATCCATGGTGATCAATTTTCGAAACGTCAGACAGAGTTTCCCCAGGCTTGCAGGCCCCTCCCGCATATAAAAATAGCAGACGTGTGTGAGGCACCCATTCTTTGCCGCACACTCTCCCCTAGACACTCTATGGGAAGTCATTCATTTTGTTCTCTCAGCCCTGGTGAGAGCCCAAGATCAGAGCCACAGGCCACACTGTCACCTTCACACGACACTGCCTTTCCCAGCTTGCTTCCTGAGTCGGAGACTCCGTCAATACTCTCACACTGCGGATGACCTGGCTTCATCTGGATGCTGACTAATGAAGCTGCGGTCTTATGATGCTAGAGGGGATGAGAATTCAACCCGTCGTTTGGTGAGCCGAGGACTGGGAGGGGTTACACAGGAGGTCACAGGCCTCAACCACGGCTAGAGCAGAAAACAGAGTACCAGGCACTCTGATCGGCTGACCTCAAATGTGGCCCAACCCTCTCCTCGCATGATGAGAGACGCCGTTCACTTCAAATCGATTTCACGACTACCTACAGCACGCCGGACACTAGAGAGACAGTTATGAACAGCAACGTCTACCTTTGTAGGTAGGTGATTCAAGTCACAAAATAATTAGGGATTCGTTGAGCTCCAGTTACACAGAGATCTTCAGAGAAGGTCTGTGGAGGCGGTGATGGGTGAAGTCAGGGGAGGGAAGGCCATTAGAGATGACCCTTGACCTGAAGGGAGACACATAAGATACAGAGGAAACCCACGGAAAGTTCAGAGGACAGCAGCACACGCTAGTAATCCCAAGCCCAGATGAGTTAATGCGAATCAAGGGGAGGACTGGAGATGGGGGGGTGACTTCAGTTTTCACACCTCCTCTAAAATTCATGGTAAGTATTTCTGCACAGCAGACTGGCTTTGTTAGTAAGCAAATTCCAACTGGGTGCCTTGGGCCGGGCTCATGTAGGCATGCGTGCTGTGCTGTGATGTTATGAGCCCTTAAGGAGGCCCTCACCAGAGTCTGGCACCACCCGCTTGGACTCTGTAGCCAAGCACTCCTCTTTTTAAACTGCCTACTCTGTGGTCTTGTCATGGAGGCACACCATGGATGGACTAATATTGGCAGAGTCTGAGTATGAGAGGCTTGAGCATGACCCTGGGGAGACGGCAGAGGTATCGGGCACCTTCTATGGAGCACGGGAGACACAGCTAGACAGATGTGGTGCACCTCAAAGGTCTGGAGCTACGGGGATAACGTTAGCCGCGGTGAGCGTTCAGCGTCGTTCGCTAAGTTAAAACACAGGCGCAGGGAGCACAGCCCATTGGCAAGGGTGTGTGCGACGAACACCACACCCCAGGCACCAGAGGGTGAAGTCCGGAGTTCAGGCCTCAGCATCATGACAAAGGAACACACAGACCAGAATGCCCGATGGTGTGGGGAGGGGACACGAGTATAATAAACACAGCAAATGCCACAACGGACGGACACACACACACACTGAACAGAGATCACAGCCCTAAGGCCAAGGATGACGACGTCATGGTCTGATGATGTCATCTTTCTTCTGTTACATCTAAAGGGAGAGGATCTAGAGACGGTCCCCGGGATGACCACGGTGGCTTTTGGTGGGATGCCTGCGGCCACCTTCAGGCTGACAGAGAACTTGGAAAGCCAGTCTGGGTGAGGGCGGGAAGACAGGAGAGGGATGGGCTGGGAGAAGCGGCAGGACCGGAGGGGACAGCACACAGTGGTGACGTGGACTGGAGTCACCGCGGGGAGGACTCAGATGCCAACCGAGCTGTGGCGTTAATGCAGCGGACTGCTCAAGCGCCGTTCCCAAACAGGTGCCCACGCTGGGGCATGGACGGACAAGGTGACTGCCCAGCGAGCATCTTCAGGAAGGGGGGGCCCAAGAGACTCCACCGTGTACGGATGAGGTCCTGTGTATGCGTGTGTCCGGGAGACGGGAAGGTGACGCTTCGGTCGTGTTGTGGCACAGCAGGTAAGTACTCACGATGCCACTACCATGCCTTGAACTTCCCAGTCTCAGAACTATGAGCTAAATCAACTTCCTTCCTTTCAAATGACCCAGGCTCGATGGCAACAGCAATCAGGTTAATAATGCAGGCTTGCTCCCCGAGGAGGCCACAGCAATGCCATTGGTGGTGGTGGGGGGGAACTTAGCCTCTTGCTTCTTTGTATAGGACGTTTTGAAAGTTGGCTTTCACATAGCAGTGGCTCCCGAAAGCAGTTAAGTGGGTCACTCGCTTAGCTTTCCTTAGTGGTAGATTAATTAGCCAGCTGTAACTCCCGGATCTCTATTTTTAAATAATGACTTGCATAAATCTCTGAAGACAAGAACTCACCACTGGTACACAGCACAATCCAACAGCTGCAAGTTATTATGCCCAGTGGAAATTAAGTCTCTTTTAGGGAAATCATGTAAGATCTCATGACAAATATGAAATTAACCCCTGCCACCTCTGTGACCACATCCTAATAATCAGAGTCCCTGGGGTCCTGAAGTGATGGCAGAATTGACACAAATTTTAGAGGGTAGTCCTCTAAGCAAGTGAATAACACAGTCTTTGTCCTTGGTTGGGAGAGAAGTGGGAAACCCAACACGGATAAGCTTGCCCAGCAGGGTCCTCCTTCAATTCCAGAAACCCAAGGTCAGGAGGTATGTTTCCGGGATATGGGCAAACCAACCATTACATCATTTCTGTGCTTTTGCTCAGAACCTCAAATCCATGCTTTTGCTAGATTCTGAAGTCTCTTTGGTGTACAGGCTCCTGTTCTCCGCTAACAGAGGGTTTAACTTTTCCTTTTCACTCCCCATTCTATGCTGGGTTTGGTTCCTATTGTTTCTAGGGCAGTGGAGCACTGGGCTTGGAGGCTGACTGTCCACGCAGCAAACACGATTCCAGGGAACCAGTGCCTCCGAGGAGGCTTTGCCTGAAGCATTACCCAGCATCTAGGAGACATGTGTATACATGCACGTAATACAACACTGGTCAATCCTCTGTCATGGCCTCCACTCGAAGGCCAGGACTCATTCGCTTGGACAGTATTCAAGTGAGCACTTCCCTAATAGTGGAAATGGGATGCTCACGCTTCCTGCTGCTTTGGAGTTTTCTGATCAAATCGCTTATTTCCTGCTTTAGTGCTAAACTATTGGAACCCATGAGAGGATGAGGCGTGGTGCTTTGGAGTCAGCAGTAGAGTTTTGGTTCAGATGTTGTATTAGCTGTTTTTCTTGTGTCCGAGTAATACAAAGAAACTTAGGGGAGGAGGGGTGGGTTGGGGATGTAGGTCAGTTGGCAGAGCGCTTACCTAGCACACAGGATGTCCTGTGTTCCAATCCCAGCACCCCACAGGTTAATCATCGCAGCTCATACCTATAATCCCAGCACTCGGGTGGTTGAGACAGGAGGATTACATGTTCGGGGTCATCTTCAGCTACACAGTGAGTTTTAAGGGCAGCCTGGACGACGTAAGGTCTCAAAACCAGACAAAGCAGAGGAAGGGGATGCACAGGCTCACAGTCTCAAGAAGAGAAGAAGTCTATCGTGGCGTGGAAAGCATGGTGGCAGCATGGAGGTAGCTGGTGACACTGTACCAGCAGGCAGGAAGGACCAAGAAGATGAGACTTGGTACCAGGGTACAAACTCTCAGGGCCCAACCCCCAGGCCCCGGCCCACTTCCTTCAGCAAAGTTCTGCCCCTCAAAGGTCCCATGGTGTTCCAGAACAGCTCCGGTATTTGGGTGTGTTCAGACACACGGGCCTGTGGCAGGCGGTTTCGTATTAACACCACAGCAGACGTGGAGCGGAGTAAGTATCTGCTAAAGGAACCAAGAAGCGGAGTAAGTATCTGCCAAAGGTCTGCAGAGGCCGGTCCGCCACGCCAGCTTTTCACTGAGGAGTGGGGCCTGGCTGCTGCCTGACTGTCTCACCATCTTGATCACGGCGTCCCTTAGCTGCACGTGCCCTGGGGTGACTCCGCGGTCCCCAGGGGAGAGTTGCCAACTCCATCCAAGGCTGCCAAGGCCGCTCAGCAGCCCGGCTTTACCCTTCCTTGGCCCAGAGATTGTCTGAAGCTGGTGCCCCACCTTGACCTTTGACCTCATACATCATGAAGCTATCACAGTTCCTACCTCCGGCTAATAGTCCCCCCTCCCCCCCCCACGGCGGCTGAATTGAGTCTACCTTATCAATTTTGTGAACTTCAGTCTTGGGCATCAAGGTCATTATTGTGCTCTGCACCTGAATCGCATTGTAATGAGGCAGATCACATTCTCTTCCAGTCAATGAGGGGGAAACAAAGCACACTAAAAGGAAATTACTCCTAGAATGACCTTGCTGCAAGCCTTGCATCTGGCTGGCACAGGCTATTTTTGGATGGCCAGAAGCTCTGCTGTAGAAGCGCCCTGCTCAATCCCATGTCGGCTAACATGCTACTGCCCAATCCCATGTTAAGTAACACGCTACAGTCCAATCCCATGTTAAGTAACACGCTACTGCCCAATCCCACGTCAGCTAACACGCTACTGCCCAATCCCATGTCAGATAACATGCTACTGCCCAATCCCACGTCAGCTAACAAGCATGCTACCGAGGAACACATGGCTCCAGCCATCAGCGGGGCACAGAGGTGACAGATTCCCAGGGAATCACCGATGTTTACTGATTCACTGCCACCTGGCTCTGGGCAGCTTCTGAACTTGACAGAACAATAAAATGTCAACCACATTTGCATTCAAAAGTGACTTCATGTTTACACGTGCTAATAAAAAGGGAAGCTTGCCTTCTGAGAAAGGAGCAAGTTCCTTAATCAGTTTTTTGAGAGGCTTAATCAATTTTCTGAGTGTGAGACATGTTCTACATACATTGCACTCCCCTCCCCCAAAGACACGGGATGGCTTGGCAGCACTGCCCCCCTCACACCCCGCAGATGCCCTCTCTAGGACTGGGGGTTCTAGCAGAGCATTTTTTCTCCCTCTTTCTTTTAGGGGTTTTTTTTTTTTTGAGACAGGGTTTCTCTGTATTGTTTTGGAGCCTGTCCTGGAACTCGCTCTGTAGACCAGGCTGCCCTCGAACTCACAGAGATCCACCTGCCTCTGCCTCCCGAGTGCTGGGATTAAAGGCATGCACTGCCAACACCCGGCTGAGCATTCTCTTCCCAACAACAGCCTTGTGGTATTTCCCCCTATATCTGAAGAAATACTCAATGAGTCAGTAAACGAAATGGCTACATAAATGGCCAGAAAGGTACCCTGTGACCTCTTACCCTTTCATTGATATTAACCCCTCCCTCTTCTGGCTCTCCAGCCTTGTCCTTTTAAGTAGAATTTAGACTTGGGGGTCATGAAGTCAAGTATGCCATTTCCAACTGGACAAATCACTGCCGGAGTTACCCCGAGTAGCACTGTTAGTCACTTAACCTCTGCAAGGCCTCAATTCCCTTGTCCAGAAAATGGGTGAATTATTGGCGTTGGCCTCAATAATTGAGCATTGGTATTAATAAGGATTCAACCAGCAAGAGACAGAAACCCACTTCAGATGATTTTAAGAGAAACAAAGGAATGTGCTTCCTGGCTGAAAGGGATGCTGGGTTATGAGCTCAGATGAAAGCATGTGTCCAGGGCCTCAAATGCCGGGATCAAACTAAGACCCCAGAGCCCATCCCTTCCTTCATCTCCATCCCAGCTCATCTCTGCTGGGCGTCTCTCCTTTTGGCTACCACTGACCTTTCCTGACTCGGCAAACGTCTTGGTCTCTGCCGGCTCCATCCTCACGTTCCTCCAGCGTTGGGAAGCCAGAGGAAAGGGTGTTTTAGTCCTTGCTTTCCCAGTCCATGCCCAGTGTTTCAGGAGACTCCATGGTCTAAGGATGAGCTGTACTGTGATTGGCCAGGCATGAGGAGGCTGTGCCCATCCCTGTACAGGAGGCCCAGAAGAGGTGCCAAAAGAGGGGACTGTTTCTGGGAGAACTGATGTCAGAAGCTATACCCGTCAAGTGTCAGCTACAGGATTGTCTACACAGGAGCTGAACAAGGATGGCACCAGTAGGTGCTAAAGCGGGTTGGGGAAAGCCCAGGCATCCTCAGCCCTGCACATGGAGCTACAGACGCCTAAGGGATGCTGAGAAGGGAAGCGACGGTCTTCTCCAGGGAAGACGCACCGATTGGTTATCCAATACTCAATACTCAGCGGTCAGCCCTGGGTAACATTATACAGACTGAGCAGCTTGCGTGTGTGCGCACATGTGTATGTACACGTGTGTGATCACATGTGTGCATGCGCTCACAAAAGTAACTCATGTAAAACAGCATGAGTTTGAAAGATATCAAGGGTGGATATATAGGTTTGGAGGGAGGAAAGGGAAAAGGCGAAATATGCAATTATAACAATCTCAAAAATTAAATTTTAAGAAGCAGGATGAAAACCTTACAGGTCAAATAGAGCAGAAATTAAAGCTGCCCTCCTCTGTGAGAGTTATAGCATGCAGGAACACAACGCTGAGTGTATGTAGCCTGTAAGCCAGCAAGAGCTGCACGTGGGCCCTAGAAAACAACCTCTTCCTTGGGTGCGGATGGCCTAGCCCGTTACTGGTGGCTGTAAGGGTACCCTTCACTCACCCGTGTGCAAGGCACTCCTGTTCTCAGCGTCGCAGACCACGGAGTACACGCTGCCACGGTCTCCAGTTCTCAGACAAGTAAACACACTGCCCAGTGTCGCGTCACCCGGGGTGGAGCCAGAGCGTAGAACCTGGGAGCCTGAGCCAGACTTTTAAGTTCTATGCCCCAGGCCCTTAACGCCTCCCGTCACCCTTTACCAGAAGACTGAGAAACTCATATGTGCTGACTTTGAACCTTTTCCTGGACACACTGAAAATTCCACAAGGTTAGTTAGTAATTGTGTCTGCCTCACTCACGCCGGCGTAAACAGGCTGCAGGACCAGCCAGGGAGGAGTGGAGGTAATTAGGATCGGGCTAGACTTTTCCTCCAGCGCCTGAACACCACTCAGATAACGGCGCTGCCTCAGATGAATGTGCACACCCATTTTCCGAAATGCGCTAAGATGCGTAATGTTCAGGCGCCTAATAACACGGCTGCTAGTTACTCACTCCCGACACTTAGATAGCACTTCACTTTCTAAAAACGTTTCAGAGCACATTAGTTCATTAATCCCACAGTGTCTGCGTGCGATGCGGAAGGGGGCTGTCCCTGTCCCTGATCTTTCTACCTTCTGGATCTCGACACGTGGTGGTGAAGGGAAATAAAGAATTGCAGCCAAGCGGAACAGCGAGTTGGGGGCGGGGAGGATGAGAGAAACCACCCCTCATTTTGCGAAAACTCACCCTTGAAGCCACCTTCGATACACAGGAGCTGTGCGATATGAACTACTTGCTTCTTACTGGTTAAACTGTAAGCAAACAGCAATCACACAGCACCTTCAACATGAAATGCCTGTTCTCCAATCGCTTTGGCCCTCCCTATGGCCATCTCCATCTCAGAGTTGTGCATTTCGATGATACTTGTGTACTTACATTCCAACTTCTGTTTTCCATCCAAGGCTTAAAATATCGTACAGTAGTAGTATCCAGCATGGCTCTATGTATGCCTACGAACCGATTTCTTTATGTTTCCTTGTCAGGTAAAGAATCATCTCTTGCTCACACCAGCCCATATTGCTTGCTCGGGCCAGCGGAGAATGAGGAGGAGGAAGCCATGCAGGACAACAGTTATGAGGTCACATTCTAGGATGAGGAAGACCTTGGCTCAAACTGACATTAGGTCTGAGAGGAGCTCAGCCCCTCCCAGTGCGTTTCCACTGGGAGGAAGGGTTGTCAAACCTACCTCAGTGAGTTTTATGAGACTGACCAATAACCACGTGCTCAGGGCAATGTGAGACATACAGTGGATGCTCAGAAAGTAAATATTACTGTCTCTGGGCTTCTTAGACGTCATTGCTTTCAATTCTAAGGTATGGTATTGAAGCACTTTAAAATGATAAACCCCCAGATTCTAGACGGTTGCCTGTGAATCAGGAACACACTGCAGTCTGTGATGACACATAGTGATCATTCTCCTGGAGTGAAGAGCCAGAAATGCTCGACACCACCCCAGAGGTCGGGTGCTTGTCAGGGTTAGTGGCCAAGGGCAGTGGGGGTAGGTCAGCTGCTTTGTCTATGAAGAATTTACATATATAGTTTTTTTTGGCTTGTGTCTTCTCACTCTTCTCAGGGTGGTGTGCTGCCTCCCTTAGATGCCTTGGCATTCCAGCAACTAAATAATCAGCTTCAGCCACCCACGGGTGCTGCTTGCACACATGTAAGGCTCTTGAGGTTGCTGGTGTTAGTCTTGGCCCATTTCCATAAGCATATTATTAAGTAGGAAGAGTGATGTTCTCAGTGTCTTTCCCTCCCCTCAAAATGTCTACAAAGATAGTCTGTGATGGTAACAGAGACGGGACAATGTCCATGACTGCCTATCAGCGGTGACGGCACAAGTATGTTAGGAGCTGGGGTGCTATCAAGTTCTCTGGCTAATTGGTCATGTTTAGCATGTATTATGCTTGTCTGCTAGAATTAGTCACAAGAACAGAAAATGCAGACAGCAATACTCAACCCCCAGTTCTCCAGAGGAATGAACGCTGACTTCACAGACACAATTACAACTGCCGAGAGAGAACATTTTTCCAAAACTGTTTAATCTCAGAAATGGGCAATAAGATTCTCAGCCTCATGGGCATTTCAACCTTGATGCAATACAGAAAACTCTGTCTGGGACCAGACACCATTAGATCCTTCAAGTGCCCACTTCCTCACAATAAAAGTATTTTAAGACTCAGAGTGTCGGGCAAGCATTGTGTGTGCGATATTCATCACCAAATGCAAAACTGGGTTTGTGCGGAGGGGAAAGAGCCTGGGATGAGGACATTCATCTTGCACGGACTTCAGATGCCATTTCTAAGCTAACCACTTGTCTTCCAGAACACCTAGTAAATTCTCAAGAGCATGGGCTGTGCAGTCGCATTGTGTCTTACTTCCTGCCCAATCTCCTGTTCTGTGAATTCACGGCCGTGAGAAGTATTAAGAGTGGAGTTGGAGGTCAGGGAATTCGCTGAAACCAGCTCTTTTCCTTCTTTTCTTTCTTCCCTTCCTTCCTTCTTTCTTCTCCCATTATGTCTATTAATGAGAACAACCTCATAAACAATAAAGTTTAATTAGGAACTAAAGTGACTGCACCAATTAAATATGAAGGAAGTATTCAAAAACACAGCGGGGAGGATGATATCTCAAAGCATTTTAAATTGCAAATGATGGTATTGACGGGACTTTCAAAGGAGACGCTGCTTTTGGGGATCAAAAGAAAGAGTTGTAAAGTGAAGTACTGACTCAGTGGCATTTATAGACAAATAAATATTCAGGATGGATCAATCTGTGACCACGAGCAGATGCTCCAGGAAATATAAAAGCTAATGAGAGCCGTCCTTAATTTCTACCTCACTGAGTCCAAGAGAGAAGAAGAAAATCCAACTTAAAGGATCCTGGAGTAATGACAGGAATCATTAGTGTACAGGCCACTTCAAATTAAAAGGATTCATCTTCAGTCACTGAGAGAAGAAAATTATTCATGAGTTTCATATGCATGAATATCTGGGAAGAACCCGCCACTCATTTTTTTTTAAACATAAAACTATCTGAAGCTCTCACCATAAAGCTCAGCATATTTCTGGGTCAGAATCTAAAGAACACTCACTTCACATTGGTTGTGTGCTTGCGGCTTGAGGAACAGGGCTAGAGATGGGAGCTGTAGCATCTCCAGTCCACTGATCTAGCGGAGCCATGAAGCCGTGTGGTGAGCGCTGCTGGCGGAGAGAAGAGGCTAGCACTCTAGAGACAGGAGGTGACTCTCGGTTCCACCACGGACCATAGGGATGGTGGGCAACCAAGGGGGAAGAACAGTCACCATCTTTGGTCAGTCTGAAGCCCATTTCGTGACTCTGGCTTGCTCCATCAACCACCCCCGCAACCGGGAAGACCAGAGAGATGAGTTCACATGAAGCCTTTGATGACAAAAGTCTAGTGTTTGGTGGAGCTGTGCTGAACGAATTATCTTTGCCCTGTCCAACAAGTTAGATAAATAACTGTCAGTTGAGAAATGTGGATCGAAAGAAACAAAGTCTAGAATGTGAGGACTGAAAGGGGCTGGGAAGTTTGTAGATAATGGTGGCCCTCTTAGTTGATTTTCTAATTTTGCAACAGAGTCTTACTCTTCATAGCCCAGGATGGCCTAGAATTTACTATGGAGTCCAGGCTTGCCTAGAACTTGCACTAAATCCTCCCGCTTCAACCTCCCGAGAGCCTGGATTGCACACAGGAGCCTCCACATTTGACAGTAGTGATGTTCTTGTAACAGCTACGAAAAAGACATCACATTGGGATCCTCCCTCATGGTCAGAGTGCTGCCAAAGCACTGGCCATTTGCTGTTTGGTCCCTGGGATGACACAGAGCCAGGATTCACTTCTCAATTAGGAAGAAAGGTTCAGAAGCTGACCGCGTGGAATCACCCTTTCAGAGCTAGGAACAATGGCAATTTAATTCCTAGTGCGTTGTCTTTCTTCCGGTTCTTGGTTTGGAATGCAGACCAGAAGCACAGCATTCACGTCCTTTGCCTCATCAGGATGGTCCTCTGACCTTGCTTTATGCAATTGATTTGCAAATTTAAACTCAAAACTCAAAATTCATGCCTCGGCATGGGTGCAGCTCTGAGCATCTCAAGCTTCCCTTCGACCTCTTTGGAACAATTAACATCTTAGAGGTTTTTTTCTGAAGTTGGAATAGATTGCAACCTAAAGGGCTATTTTGCTTTTGGTGTCTCCTTTATGACTAAATCTGCGTTGAAATAGCCTCATAATGAGAACAGATTCTTCTGGAATGGGATCATCATTTTTGAAGTTACTGGCTTTTGAGTGGTTGGTACATTTTATTTCAGTTTCTCTTTTCAACTGATGATATTTTCTTTCCTCTTCTAAGAGGAAACACAAGTGGTCAGTGTGGGAGAGAAACAAAAGAGGGCACAGACACCCATGCACGTCTCCTGAGCAACTGTAACGGTTGCAAGGACCCCATGATTAACGTCCTTCATCTTTAAAAAAAATTACCTTTGGAAGATTCCAGAAGTTAGAGAACAGACTTATTATTTAAGGCTTTTCAGAGGCACAAAATATAGCAGGCTCTGTAATGAAATAAAACGTATCTGTATGAGGTCATGGACAGTGCTTTGCATAGTTAAAACCACTACTGCTGAAGATGCCAGTCAACCCAGGAATGGCAGCAGACACCGGCAGGCAGTACCTGCACCCGAAAGACCAGGGCAGGATGACGGCAAATTCCACGGCGGTCTTCTCAACACATACGAGTATAAACTGAGCTGCGCAGCGAGCGGACCTCATCTCGTAAAAGCAAAACAGTAACAGAGGGGGTAAGGAACGAGGACAGGAATAGTTAGGCTGCTGCCCACAGCATTCATATAATTCATTTCATAACAACACAGTAAGTGGTGAGCACCCACCATGTGTGACTTCCCATGAGCATGAATGAAGCATCTTTAACCTGAAGATGTTTCACTTCCATCTGTCATAGTGGGGACAGACATGATCCAACACTGTGATATACAGCAGAGTCCCAAGCGCCAGCTCAGAGCCGCTTACTGAGGCCACATACGTCTGTCTTCCTTCTCATTTTACTACTGTTACTACCTAACAAACTATTCACACACACACACACACACACACACACACACACACACACACACACGGAAACTTCTCAACCTAACAGAAGACACGCACGCACACTCACAGACACATGCACAAACATACACACACATGCACACACAAACACACACAGAGGGCAGCATCGGAATTTCTCATCCTAACAGCTGTATACTGACGGGCGGATCCTGGGGAAGACTCACAGGGTAAAGGTGATTTCCAGCAGGCCGATTTACCTGCTGAGGAGGCTCATTAGGAGAAAAGACGGGGAGGGTCAACTGTTTTGAGGAACATGACGGGAGGCCGCAGAAATAAGGGTGGGAATCTAACCTCTGGGATGCTCTTGAATAAAAATGTAATAGTGATTCCGCAGGGGCGTTTCCCATCTTTGGCCTCAGCCAGATACTTGGCATGGGTGGGCTGAGAAATCAACCATCCCTACAAACAACCCAAGAGAGAAGAGACACTTTTTTGGCACCTCAATGTGAGAGTCACAGCATCCAACACCCAAGGAGAAGGAGAACCTCCCAGACTCACCCGTCTGTGTGTTTGCCAAGTTCTAAAGGTTTACATGGCGGGACTGATGATGTAAGCAATGAACTGTGGGAAGAGTAAATGTTTGCACTCTTGTATTTTTATTATTTTCCTGAGACAGGGCTTCTATGTGCAGCCCTGGCTGTCCTGGAACTTGCTTTTTAGACCAGGCTGACCTCAAACTCACAGAAATCTGTCTGCCTCTGCCTCCCAAGTGCGAGGATTATAGGAGGAGTGCATCACCTCCTGGCCAAGGCTTGCACTTTTTTTTAAGGCCTAAGATAACAAAGCTTCTTTGTGAATGTTAGGGAGGAAATCACCTGCTGCAGGGATTTCAGCAAAACCAGAGCTGGGAGGAGTCACAGCCCCTCCCTTTCCCTAACTGCACAGAGAAGACAGGCACTTCTCAATTCTGCAGCTACTCTGCACTTAGGAAAATCATTTCAGGCATGGGAAGAGAGAAGACCATATGCTGGAAAACCAAGAGGGATGCATAGGAATAGAAGCAGATGCATGGTCATAGGACACTCAGATGCCAACAGTGCTACACCCGCTTTACTACAGACAACAACAGAGGAACAGGAGAGAACAAACAGATAGTCAGAAACAGTTACAATCAAATCTGTGTATCCGTCTTTCTATCTGGCTGCACAGGCACTAGGTTTGGACAGTCTTGCTTAACAGCAGAGTTTCGTACCTCAAGTCAGGCAATCTGGAAAGGAAGGTGTATAAAGGGTTAAGTCAGACTGTGAGAACACTCTAGAACACAGGAGGATCAACAAGGCACACCCCGGTTCTCACAGTCTGTGATCTCAGATGTTCCCTTTAGGCTTCTGATCATACTCTGACACACATTTGATGGGCATGGTGCCAGGGCAGGAGATTAGTGTCTGTTAGGTACACGCTTACAACATTAAAAAACGTATCATGTAACAACTGACCAGAGAAAACAGGTGAAACTACACTAGCACCAGCGAAAAGTGCATGTAAGGCAAAACATTGCTAGGGATATCACCATGTCAAATATCAGAGTACCAGGGAGATATGCTAACTCTAAAGTACGCAATAAAATAAAACTTAGCAGGACTATGGAATTAATAATAAAGGAACTTTGTCAGTGCACATGCACACACACACACACACACACACACACACACACACACACACACACGCGCGCGCGCAGCCACAACTAATAAGGTCAGAAACAGCAGAAAGGGTTGGAAGTACAGAGTGCAGAGTGGGTTGTTGGATCTGTAAATTTCATTATTGCCTTTATGTATGGTATGATGTGGTTACATGTGTGGGTGATGGAATGAATGTCTGTTCTACCAATGTCTCTCTTAGAGGAACTGACTCATACGATGCTAGAATTGTGCTGTAATGCGCAGCTTTTTTAAGGTTGACAAATTCCGGTCTCTAGCACCCAGATGTGAGGCCGTGGACTCTCCTCAGAAGGGAGATGTCTCTAGGCGGGCGTCTCTCTTCCCTGCCTCATCCACGGAGCCAAGGCTCCTGTTACTGGAGGTTTTATTTGCTGCTAGTTCAGTAGAGATCCTCACTGTGCTGGGCAAATAAGGTGCCACTATTAATACTTTCCAGTCAAGAGCCTCATCCACGAACATCAGCAAATGCTCATCCGGGGGAAACTACAGTAGAGCATGGGGAGACGCGACTACTCAACAAAACTGGTGACGGAACACAAGCTGACAGAGGAAACTGGAGCCTGTGCGTGTGCGTACATGACTACTTACATATTCTTAAAATTTTCATAAACATCCACGACAAAAAACTACTAGCCTCTATCGTTAAGTAGAAGGGAAGAATGCCTAGAAATGAAAGACACGACAAAGTGAGTAAATGGGCAAACCATTATAAATGGAATGGTGAATTAGAAGATCAAATCGAGGCTCAGAAGTCTCTCAATAAACAAACTCAACCAACTAAAAATAGGAGCTTGGAAGTTAAGAGAATGTGCTGCCCTTGAAGAAGACCCAACTTTGGGTCCTACCGCACTCGCGTCTGGTGGTTCACGGCTGCCCGTGACCCTGGGGTCCACCTGCACCTGTACTCACGAGCACACAAATGCGTCTTTCAAATCCATAAAAGCAAACAAACCAAAACAGAGGACAAACTGAAGATGTTCTTGCTGATCATGCCAACCAAGCACAGCAGGGAAGGGCGGACCAAATGGGTGTGAGGAGGGCCTCGTTCATGAGAACAGTAGAAAATGGTACTTAGCTTCAACATGGACTCAATTGTGTTTAAACATGCATTACATGAAAAAATAGAAGGTTTAATTAACCAGGGAGGGATGAAGAGCAAAAAGAAACATACTGAAAGTAACAATCGGCAAAAAGAGAAAAAAAAAACAGGATGAGATCAAATATTTTATTTATCGTAATAATGAGGATTTTTAAAAAAGTAGCTTGTCACGAAGAGAAGCCACACAGAACAAATGTCAAAGTCATGTGATGATGTCACAGAATAGTTGAACATGATTTAGTGTTTTTATTTTGTTTGTTTGTTTGTTTGTTTGTTTTTTTGGTTTTTTGAGACAGGGTTTCTCTGTATTGTTTTGGAGGCTGTCCTGGAACTCGCTCTGTAGACCAGGCTGGCCTCCAACTCACAGAGATCCGCCTGCCTCTGCCTCCCAAGTGCTGGGATTAAAGGCCACCCATTCCATGTGTATCCCAGGCTGGCCTCGAACTCGTGATCCTCCTGCCTCTGCCTCCTTCAGCAAATCCTACTGGCATATGCCACCACAACCGGCTGATTTGGTGTTAAAAGTGATCCTGCTAATGATAAATACAGTTGACTTTAGATGAAGATGACACAATACTCCTACCCTTATCCCCCTGTATCTGCAGTGGATTTGAGAACATCATGGAGGTTGAAATCTGAGGATGCTCAGAACCCTTATGCGAAACGACAGTGTTTGCATAAAACACATGCATGTTCTTTCATATACTGTAAATCATCTTTAGATTAAGCACAATGTATAATGCAGGGTAGAAGGCTATGCAATGGTTGTATACTGCATATATAATTTAGGGATTATGATAAGAAAAATAAATATACAGGATCAAGACAGACACATCATCTCCAAAATATATGTTGCCTGTGGTTGGTTGGATCCCAGGATATAAAATCTATGATGTGGAGAGCTTTTTGGCAAAGTAAACATGTTGGAATTCTACAAAAAAAAATTTACAAACTCACAAGTTTATCTGGACACCACGCCTATGCCACTTCCAAAACACTAATAGAGCAAAAGAGCCAGAAGTAATAATATGTTAGGAGCACAGAACAAAGGTCCTTGTGCCCACAGATCTCCAGGGAAACCAGGAACATAATGCACAGTGCTCACAGGACTGTCTCTTCAATGGGAAAGATGACAACATCAACAAAAACAAAACAAAACAAAAAACAAACAAAAACCCACAACCAAACAAAACAAATCTGTTCTTCCATCTAAAACTCTGGGAGTCGGAAGTGACTAGTAGCCCTGTGACCCTCATTATCTGTTGTGCCAGACAATATCAAGCTCCTACAACAGGGACCAGAGGTGGGTTATAGCCCAAATGGCCTCTACAGCCTCTATGCTGTATGTATGACAGACCAGGCCAGAGCCTTCGGCCGTTAAGCTAGCGCAGGCAGCCTACTTATAGAACACATCTTCTTAGGGGTAACAACCTGTACCCTGAGTTGAGTTTTGACGTATGACATGACCCTGTGCACCAGGGATCGCATCATACCAGAAAACTCTTTTCCCCAAAAAATGTACTGTGTTTTACACACGCCAAAAGTGAACTGCTTGGCATCAAACTCTCTGAGGTGTGGGTTCAGGTTGACAGGTCAGAACCTCATTCCCATCTCCCCTCGGTTCACTTCCCTGCCTGATACCTGCAGAGATTCCCCTTAGGAATGTACATTACTTAATACTCGAAATTACATGAGAACAAAAATAATTTATTTATGAAAAATAAAAAATAAAACTTACAAAACCTGCACAGGAATAACCAAAAGAATCACATATAATTTAAAACAGAAACGAAAGTCTGTATTTTCTAACTCAATGATGAAAACGAAAAAAAAAATCTGTGTTCTCTTCCCCCACAAAGCAAGTAGCAAAACGGAAGCGCTGATTGTAAGTTACAAAGCCGTTTTAGTAAGTCTAGACTCGCTACAGCGTGGGTCCACAGTGTGTCCTGGAGCCCTGCGTGTTGAAGGTGTTGTTCCTAGAGTGTAGTATTATTGGTACAGCTTTGGGAGGCAAGGTCTCCTAGAAGGAAATTAGAGCCCTGGGGATGATGCTTTGATGGAGCTCACGGACCTTGCCCTTCCCTTCCTTCTCTGCTCTGGCCACTGCTCCTGCCATGATGCACTTTCATGAAACTGCGGCCTGACCCAGCAGCACAACAAGGGGGGGGAGGAAAGAAACTTTGTTATGATCAACAGAATGACAGCTGCTATCGTTAACTTGCTAGGACCCAGAGCGCCAAGGAGACACGTGTCTGGCTGAGCCTGTGAAGGCGTGTCTGTAGTCTGATCAGGGATGTGGGAACACCCCCATGGACCGGGCTCAGACTGACTGAGAAGGGAGACAGTGGGCTGAGTAGTCACCTCCTGACGCCTGACTGTGGATGGGGTGCCTCCATGCCTTCCCTGACAGGATGGAACCTGTCACCTCAACTATAAGCCATCCCCCAAATTACCTTCCTCCCTCAAGTTCATTCTAGCCTGGAGTTTTGGTCACAGCAATGAGAAAAAGTAACTAACATGTCACTTTGTTTGATTCACCCAAGGGTCAGTTACAATGACACAAGTTAACTCAGGATTGTAAGAGAAGAATCAAAATTAAAATCGCAGGCTGTTTGATGGGGCTAGCAGCGGATACGTGTCAGAATGAGTTACCACAAAGAAAATCAAGGGGAAATATAACCTTGAAACATACTACTAATAAACAAAGTGAAACATGCTAATTAATAATAAAAAGGAAAACAAAGGCCAACAGTTAATAAGTTGGAAAATAAACATATCAATAAGCTGCTCCATGTTACAGTGAACCTCAAACTGTAGCCTGATAAATCACAGTAAAAGGGGCTCCTTCCCAAAACAGAGTTCATAAAATGACAAGTTTAATGAAAAACCATATAAATGAAGTAAAATAATAATTTTCCTACATGCCAAAAATAAATCAATAAACATGCTTAAACCATCACATTTCCTATAATAATAAAGCTATAAAACATACAGCTAAAAATACCAAATGAGTGTAAGATACATCAGAAGAAAATGATGACGTTTTACCAGAATACATGAAAGCAAGCTTGAATAAATAAAGCAATCTAGGATGTTATTTGGGTGGGGGACTCATACTTTAAATAAAGTTATATTAACAGAAGAACAATCAAAATCCTGAAATTAATTATCAATTAAAAGATAATTTTTAGTTTCTGTCAAGCAATAAAAATGTCTGAGAACCTCAAGGATCTATCTCACTAGACTTGAATTTTCAAAATGAAATGATAAGAACATTTAGAAAAAAGGCTTATGATATACATATTTAAAATTTCTATCTTGTAAAATATATTTCATGAAGTCAAGATATAACTAGGAAGGAATAACACTACAGCATAACTAACATATGAAGGCTTAATATTTGGAATATAAAAAATGAAAAGATGTCCTAGCAGCAGCCTGAACAAAAGGAGTGGCCCTCAGTGGCAGGCGGGGCACCCAGCAGGGCCTCTGCCAGACCTCTGCCCAAGGAGAACCAAACCAACGGCTGGACAGGCAAACTGCATGCAAAGCCACATGGGTATCCGAGTTCAATCCCCAAAACCAAACCAAAAAGGGCAGATCTGGTATGCAAGGGAATGAATGCCTGAGCTGGGAAGCGGGACAGCCAGGCCTGGGGTTGCTGGTGGGCCAGCCTCACGTAAATGGCACACTCAGGCCAGTGAGGGACCCTGTCTCAAAACTCAAGGTGGGTAGCACTTGAGGAACACACTAGAAAAGGTGACCTCTGGCCTGTCATACACACACACACACACACACACACACACACACACACACAGATCTACACTCACACACAGACACATAGACACACTTAAACTCACCCTCTCTTTCACACACATACACACATTCACTTACACTGACTTTCTCTCTCTGTCTCTCTCATACACACACACACACACACACACTCACTCACTCACAAACCTGAACCATTCACAGAAAAATACATGGGCCTAAAAATACAGGCAACATTTGTCAATTCTTTAGTATAGGAGGATAACAGTTAAAGTCAGTATAAATTTGCTCATTAGATTAGAAATGTGAAAAGGGATTCTTAAGAACTTGAATATGTGAAAAGGGATGCCATTCAAACACCCTTTTTAGAAATCTGTCAGCTAGTAGCTATCAACATATAAAGTGCACATACTTCTAAAAACCAAAGTGAAAATCGCAGCTCTCTGAGCTCTCCCACCTACTCAGAAACAACAGAAAGTGTAGAAAGAGTTCTTTTTCAGTTGCTGGTTTTTAGAAAAGTAACTCAAGAACAAAGAGAAAAACCATATACACTCATTAAAAGCAAGTCAGAGGAACATATGTGTGAATCTGTGCATGTATCAATACACATACACATACGTATCCATGCAAGGGGCATCTTCATCTACACACAATCCCCAAGACTTACTGACGAGTAGATTTTCTATTCTGTGTGTGTGTGTGTGTGTGTGTGTGTGTGTGTGCATGTATTCAGGTGTGCGTATGTGATACACACCTGCGTGTGGAGGTCAAAGGCTGGTGTCAGAGGTCTTCCTTGATTGCTCTTCACTGTATATTGAAGCAGGGTCTCTCACTTGAACCAAGACTTGATTAAGTCGGTCGAGTTGGCCAGCTTGACTCAGGAATCCCCTGTCCCATCTCCCATGGACTGGGATCACAGGACGGCGACTACACCCACCTAGCCTTTATGTGGGTTTTAGGCTCTGAACGCTGCTCTTCACACTAACACGACAAGTGTTTTACTCCCTGACCCATCTTCCCACCTCCTCCCTAGCAGTTCTTAAAAATAACTCAATCATCAGAGCATGGGCAGCAGAAACGGAAAACACCGCATATGAGTGCCCGGCACACCTGCCTGGGGAAGCAGCCGGGGGCTCTAGGGGCTGCCTGCGCACAGAGGAGAGCCGAGGACCAAGCAGGACTCACCCACAAATTATTCAATACGGGGTTTCCCATGTAAAACGGAGAATCGAGACGGGAGGAAAAGCGTCCTACAAAAGTCAGGAGCCCCATACACGTCATTCATCTTATTCTAGCACTTAATGCTGAGAGGAAAATTTAATCCACCTGAAACCATTTATTCCCATCCCCAATCTGATCAGCCCATGGATCGGGGTATTCATTTCACGACACTCAAGAGGCTTTGATGTGTGCTCTCCACTTTTAAGTGCTCTCGAATCACACGTGACTGTACCACCCGCTCGAAACAGCAAAAGGGGCCGTCGTACTACACAAGCAACACCTTCCTGCTCACGCTTGGTCCAATGTCGCAAACACAGGCTTTTCGCGTCCAGCTCTGTACAAAGGCCCCACTAGACAAAATTTCCGCACCCTCGCTTGGGGCATCAACAGCCAGATTTCCCGAGACGACTGGAGGGTGAAGGGACAGACACCACGGTGAGGGAGAACAGCAGGTAGGTTCTGCTGGAACCAAAGGATCAACGGTGGACGGCAGAGGGCTGGGCAGGCAATGGCAGGCTCTCTACAAGGGGGCAAAGCCCACTCTTAGGGAGCGGAAGGAATAAAGCACATGGAAAGAGAGGGCCGGGGAGGCCGTAAGCGGAGGGAGCTGGGTCTCAGGGCTCCCCAGTGTGACACAAACACAGACCACACGGCCCCATGCTCGGGGTACTGACCCCAGGGAGCAGAAAGGAAGCTGGCACCAGCGCTTGTCTCTGCTTCCCCGGGCGTGGGCGCCGCGTGGCCAGCTGCCTGGCACTCTTGACATGACTGCCCGCTATGGTGGACTGTGGTCCTCAGGCTGAGAGCCCCGGTTCACGCTCCTGGTCTTCAGTGGCTTCCTGCCAGGTTCCCTGGTCACAGCGACAAGGAGAACAATGGGCCGTTTACAGGAAGGTCCTCCGTGGTGGGCTGCGCGCAGCGAGCGTCCCGTGACCGCCGTTCCCGTTGGATGCGCCACGCCGACGTCCGCGTGCGCTGTCCATTCGTTGCTGTTGTTGTTGCTGTTGCTCTAACTTCACCCTCACCTCCACACTCCCACTCCCGGCTCTCCTGGCTCTCCCCGTCTCCCACCATCACACGTCCACAGACCATAGCACCGGCTCTCTGGCTGTTGGCGCCTAGACTGCAGAGTCTGTGTCTTATTTGTATTCTCCTTCCGGCATCCCCACACCACCTGGCACAGAGGCCTGGAGATATTTTTATTTCGAGTGGGGTCTGAAGCATACAGTATTTTACACGCGCTATTTTTGGTTCGGAATCATGCCTTAGGAATGTAAAGAGATCAAAGTCAGCGTGAACATTCACTCTAAAGTTCCTGTCCGAAGGCTCACTGCGGCTGTGATTAAGTCATGCTCACAGCCACATGGAGATGCTTCACTCACAATGGAAGGCCCATGCTGTCCCAGCCTTCAAAGCCACACCAGCAGCTGACACATCTAAGGACAGTCCATTGCCACTTAATTATGCTTATAGGGTTTGGGGCAGCCGTCCAGAGGTGCCCTTTCGAAATGTACAAACTTGTGTTTGAAGGGCCAAGAAAGACGGGGTGATGCTCCTGAAGACACTCCCAGATTAACCGTAAAGCCCGGAAACGTGTTCTCTTCCATGGCTAAAAGGGAGTTGACGCCTACGGCTAAACTAGACTGGGCTATTCAGAACCAAGGGTCCCCTAAGAGGAAAGGAGGCAGGAAGGAAACCCAAAAGGAGGCAGGAGATAGACACAGAAGTCAGTCAGGCGGGGCATGAGCATAGCAGGAGGAAAACCTAGTCTTCCCGCATGTCTGTGTGAGTATATGCCATGTGCATGGGGGTCCATAGGGACGTTGGCGGGGGCTGGCTGCCCTGTGGTTGCAATTCCTGGCAAGAGTGAACTGCCAGGTGTCGGTGCGGGCAACCAAACTTTGGTCCTCCAGAAGAGCGGGAAGTACTCTTAGCCTCTGAGTTTTCTCTCCAGCCTGACCTCTGTCTGTTTCGAATACAAAGGTCAGTCTAGTAGGCTAGTCTCTGTGTTCTTGAAAAGTCTTGAAGTGCGAATGGACAGAAGTCGAGCTGGCAGCAAACCTGCTCTTTATCCCTCATATCCCTGTTTGTTGGCCTATTCTTTTGTTTTATCTGCACCAAGGAATAAAAGGCACTATTTCTTAGACATCCGCTTTCAAATCTACTCACTTCATATAAAAAATTACACAACTGTTGGTCTTTCTAGTAAAAAACAATTCCACTCCCATTTCCTCACTGAGTTTAAAGACGGGAAGCTGTGCATCTCTTAGAATCTTATGTTAGAAGCATCCTAGACCTAGAAAGTTTGTCCCAATTAAGGAATCCATTCTAAATATACAATGCCCTCACTATGTTGACACTCCACGCTCGCCATCTGGCTACCCTGGCAATTTACATAGATTTTCATGTGGCAAAAATACTTTCTTATTGATTCTTAAATGAGAAATGCCCAGCATCTCAGATCTGCTGAAAATGTTCACAACATCAAACAACAGTTTCTCTTCTACGCCTTAATAAGCTCCCAGACCATAAAGTATGGGGACGAAAGGAGATGGCGTTTTCTGAGCAATCTGAGAGCCTACTGGGCTCTGGTTGGTACTGGCTGCTTAGCTCCCACCCCCACCCTCATTCCTAGAGTTTCTTCTAGACACTCCCTCTATAATAGCTAGGGCCAGAGGCAGGCAGGCTTCCAGAGGTCATGTTCCATGGGACACAGGTAGGAGCTACAAACAGGATGCAAGACTATAAGGTAGCCTTCCTTCCTGTGACTTGTTTGTTTGTTTTTTCCAGAAAAAAACAGAGAATTCACTCTGTAGACCAGGTTGGCCTCAAACTCACAGAGATCTTCCTGCCTCTGGCTCCAGAATGCTGGGATTAAAGGCATAGTGCTACCACTGCCCGACTACCTGTGTCTTCTTTTTAAAAAGGGTTCTTTCACCGTAGCTCTGACTGGCTTAGAGTTTATTATGGAGCCCAGGTGGCCTCAGTTTTACAGTTTCTTGCTTCAGCTCAAAGATGGCTGGGATAATGTGTGTGTCGTACCTCATTCCCAATGTCTTTCTGGCATCCCCAAGGCTATTCTGACCACAGAGACTTGATTATTGATGTTTTCCTATTCTTACATCCCCATTGTGCTGAACCGAATCCCTCCAAGCCTTGGGATATTATTCTGTCACAAAAACGAATGGAGACCGACGGATGTTACAGTGCACTGAACCTTGAAACCATAGTGCTAAGTGAAAGGATGAAAGGGACCACTCACTCTATTCTCTGAGTAGACCTGCAGAAACAGAAGCAGGGGTGATGGCTGCCTAGGTCTCTGGAGGGCGCTAGCGTGCCCAGGGATGCAGCATTTTGCTGTGGAGCCATGCAAACTGCGAGAGTATTGATCAGGACGTCTCTACAGCTCTGGAAACGCCATGAGCCGCTGACCTGTACACACGGAAGAGTGAGCTAGACCCTAATGAAGACGTTGCACTTAAGTGGAAGGAACAACGGCTTTCCCAAAGCTCATTACCTGAGCTAGTTCACTGGCTGTCCTCCCTGGTGGTTACCCGCCCATCCGTGTTACTGCTCACCACCACCTCCGTCTGCTTACCCACCCACCTAGACGGGCTGACGGCCGGTGGTACCCAGCTGTCACCATGGCTACCCCAGTGTATTGCTGCTGCCTCTAAGTACCTCTACCTCTACCTCTAGCATCACCATTATTCCCCCTCAGGACCGACGAGGCCAAAACAAGCAGCGGTTCACGAGATGCAGAACTGTAGTGGTCAGAATCATACGTTTTGTTATTTTGTGAAATGAAAGTGGCATTTGCCTGATTCCCTTTGCTCCTTCCTGAAAACTGTCAGAGCCTGGTTGCATGTCACTTTCCTTTATTTCCCTAGAAACATTCACCTTAAATATTTACTTCTATTCCCTTCCAGCCATGCTCTAAGGCTCACTCCACTGTGCCAACACTCATATCTGTCTACTGCTGACTTCTGGCAATTGCTCCACGGCCTGTCCTGCAGGGAGAGGCGACAGCCAATTGCCTTCATGACAAGATCCGATTGTTGTCATCTGACCCAAGCCTCCTTAGACAAACTGCCTACAGCCTTGTCTTTTCACTAAGGTACCTCCCCAAGACCTGGGACCCCTATTATTAGTCTGTCATTTATTTCTTCTGAGACAGAGTCTCACTGCATGACTCAGGCTGGCCTGGAACTTGCTGTGTAGATAAAACTGCCCTCAGAATCACAGAGATATGCCTGCCTCTGCCTCCTCAATGCTAGGACAAAAGGTACTCATCTGTATAGTAAGGCATTGACACTTTCCTGATGCTATAAATGATGTCGGGAGGAAAGCATACTTACACACCCTAGATCTCTTTCATAATACAGACAGACACCATTTAGTTGCTCAGTAACACTCCAAAGGACTGTGCCACACAACTTCGGGCAGGTTTTACCACACTGGCAACCTCATCAAAGGTGACTGAGAAGACAAGTTCACAAAGTCAATCCAAGAGCTGCCGTAATGCAGATTTTCTTGGGTGGTTCTCCAAAAGAGAAGGCAGGGTTACTAAAGAGAGGGAGGCTTGGGGTCCAGATCCTTCTTCCTAGGACATGAGTCATCTTCACACGGAGTCACCACCACCCCTGAGCCTCCATCGAATTTCGATTGAAAAGCTGGAGGAGCTACCTTTGTGATGTTAAGGCTGCTGTGCGGGATGCCAGAAGATGAGCAACCATGGTCTCACTGGCTCCATTTCTAAGAGCTTCTACCCAATCCTGGAGTCAGTTAGCGTGTGTTGTGTCAAACAAAGCTTACCTTCGCATGTAGCCCTTTATTAATTGTTTTGTTTAGTGTGACTTACATGTAACTTATTTCAGGGCTGACGCCTTGGTATCTGATGACCAGTTAGGTGTGGCTCATCCCTGGGGGAAACCGTCTCTCTCTTTCTCACCATTCCTTGGTTGCCTGAAGTTATTTGTTTAGGGCTGGGCCCCTGTGAGGATTTCCCTGTCCATCTGTGTCTGTTGGTGGTGTAATTGTTCTGGTCCTATTCAGCCATATTGTAAATGGAGTGGGCAAGTTGTATTTATATATTTAGGTGTGTGTGTGTGTGTGTGTGTGTGTTTAATGGTAGCAATTAAAAAGAGGCCATGAGCTCAAGAGGGAGCAAGGGGGTTGGTTGGTATTTGAGAGGCATGGTAAGGAGGAAAGAAAAGGGGGAAATTATGTTATTATATTTTTTTAAGTTAAAAAGTATTGATTACGTTTCCAGCTAGGAGCTGAACACACTTCACTTTCCCACTGCTTTTAAATAAGGACGTGATGACATCAAGTATTGAACAGTATAAGCAGCCAAACCCACAATGCTCATTACCAGATGAAGATGCTCTAGTTTGATTAAATGTCTAAATATGGTATGACATATTTGCTTGAGTTTTCCAATACCTGCCCTGGCTGTCCATTTCTTACCTAAGTATGCTATCTAGTATATCACTTCTAAGTATGTAAGCTCAAGTCCTTGAGAGTGTTTGGGTATATTAGACACAATACTATGCCCATCTGGGCTCTGACATGGAGCTATGCCTTGGTACATAGGGTTTCCTGTGCCAAAACTGTTCTAGGAGAGGTGGGCTCTGCATCTCCATCAGCAACATCATCATACCTGAGATTGTTTAAGACACCACAGTGGGCAGAACCCTTCCAAAGAGCTGCCATGCATCAGAACACCCATCTACAAACCTTTCAAATAAACGTCTAGCAATACTATCGAATAACACTGCACAGCAGTTTATAAACGCTCAGACAACAAATACCATAGTACTAACAACAGGTTAGAGAATCCAATCTGTCATGTGACAGTAGTCATTAGGGCTCTTTTCATTCTAAGACTGCACACTTCAAGGACTCAGATGGCACAGTGTCACCTCTGTAGAAGCATCTGGATGTTCCTCAAGAGCCCACGTGCTTCCCACCCTGCAGGGACCTTTGGTCT